CCACTTCCCCTTCTCCATATATATAGGAAGCTAGCACCATAGGGCTGGAAGGGACCTCTTGGGTCATCCAGTCCTCTGCTATTGCAGGCAAACCCCATCATATTATCTCATTCAAAAATGTATTTAATTTAGTGATGAAGACACAGTTGTTTTCCTTCCCACCCTAGAAATGGCAACTGGTGGCTGCTGAGGCCAGAAGTATAAAAGGCTGGGCTCAGAGCTCAAAGTTCTGCTGCCGAGCAGGCCAGATGCTCAGCCCAAGCTCCAGTGGAGAAAGGTCCAAAGTGAGAGGAAGGTGAGATTGTGTGAAAAATAGGATCAGATGATGATGAGCAGGAGATAGCGGAAAGAGGCAAGAAGCAGGGGGAACAAAACGTTGAAGTCTATTCAAATAAACCAGGCTAATGGTGCACATCCATGATTGGCGAGCATTGTACTGGTTTAAAATGATGTTTCTTGTTGGTACATCTCCAAAATCACCCTGCTTTCTTCCCTTTACTTCTGTTCCAGTGCTCCCTGTAAGCTGAGTGCTACCCAGGAGAGATTCAGGTGCCACCCAGCTGATTAGCAGGCATGCATTTTTATTGGTGGTGCACATCTGCACCTTGGTGCACATAACAAAATTTATTCCAGGGATGGATGGAAACAAAATTTATCCTGTACATGGATGTAAAAAATTAGAGGGAACGTTGTTTGGATCCCTCACTATCAAAGGCCTTATGTGATGGTGGCCAAACCTTTGCTCTGGGGTCTCTCTCTCACATTGAAACCTTCACCTATTTAAAGCAGAATGCACTGGTCACATAGCGTTCCAGTGAGATAACCTATGGTCTTTCACACATGATCCTGCTCACAACTCAACAGGACCAGTTTCTGTGGGAAGATTTGCAAGTTAGGTCCCAATCCTGCCAACATAGAATCATAGAATACTAGAACTAGAAGGGACCTTGAGGGGTCATCGAGTCCAGTCCCCCGCCCTCATGGTAGGACCAAGCATCATCTAGATCGGTGTTTCTTAAACTTTTTAAGAATTTTTATGGGACTTGCCCCTTTAAGGGAAAAGTTGTTGACCAAAAAAAAAAAAAAGCCCCCAGGGAAAAGTTGTTGAGAAAAAAAAAAAGAGGCTTGTCCCTTTGCATTCTGTTCTCTCTGCAGCACACCTCCGACTGCCTCACAGCACACCGGTGTGCCGCAGAATGCACTTTAGGAAATGCTGGTCTAGATCATCCATGATAGATGTCTATCTAACCTGCTCTTAAATATCTCCAGTGATGGAGCTTCTACAACCTCCCTAAGCAATTTATTCCAGTGATGGATGCAGGCACTTAATTTTACTACCATAAACCAATCCCATTGATTTTAATGAGGCCACTCAGGGTAACGAAGCTAAGCACTAGCAGGGATCAGAGTGTTAGTCTGTAACATATCACACCTATCACAGGCATACATCTCAGATGACATTTCTTGGGAAAATGTCTTATCTGTTATTGGTTGTGGGTTTTTGGAGTTGGAGTTGGAATAATGCATGATCAGGGCTCGACAAACTGTGGTGAGAACTACTCACCAGCCCCGTACCATGTATGCACCAGATTGGCACTGTGCATGCGCCGGAGCGACCGGCTGAAATCTACAAACAGCGGTTTGTTGAGCCCTGCGCATGATTGATGTATTCAATGACTTTCATCTTTTCTCCCTTCTAGTTCTCTTCTCCTCTCCCACAAGTCTATAAACCCGTGGTGTGCAACACGCTAGCCATTAGCCACGTGTGGCTATTTGGCCAGTCAAGTGTGGCTAGGTGGCTTTACATTTTTTAGATTTACAGTTTCAGAATAATGTGGCTAGTTTGCCATAGCAGTAGCTGCTATACTGGCTACTGCTCCAGAACTAGTTGGACACCATGGCCATAAACGGACTGAAATTTTCTCAAATATACTTATCACTCTTGGTCTACCATGCATGGAAAAGTGTTACACTGAGACCCTTTGGCAAGCAAAATGTGGGCTGTGTTGACTGGAGGAAGCCACATGAGCTGCTGCTGCCTCCTTAATGCAGAGCTGGGGAAACATTTTTGGG